ACTAAATCAATTTATCTCTCTCTCTCTTTTTTTCCTGTAATGGGTTCACATAAAAACTGATTTCCCCTACCTCTGAGGAGGACTGGAAAGTGAGGAAAAGAAGGAGAGGGAGAGAGATGGGCGAAGAGATTTAGCTTATTAAAATTCGGTTGTTTGAAAGGCAGAGGTGGGAAGGGAACGACGACACATTTGGGAATTGAATTACCCATCCAGACAGTTCTTCCATTGATGGGGTGGTCCATTTCGTTTATCCCAAACAGAGCAAATATTCCGGGATTCGCTTCCACCTCGTCAGCTAAAGCCTTTCATTACTGTTGTTGTTGAAATCTGCTGGATTTATTTTTCACTTGGACGAAATATGAAATTAAGCAAAAGAAATGTACAGAATAACATGTAATTAGGTGAAGGAGCTGAGCTGAAATTAAGAATGCAACATAAATTTTTAAGTCGGCACACATATGATCCTCGCTTCAACGCATGTAGTTAAACGCAGACTGAATCTAAAATGCAAGATAACGTACACTTGAACCTAAAGTCGCAGCGGTAACAAATTTTGACCTCAATTGAAATCGTCACGGGAAAGACGAAAATGAATTTCGAACTAAATTTTTTTTAGAACATAAAATTTGGAACTTTCTTTTGGATTTTGCCCAGTGTTGAAATCATTTCATCTCTGCTCCATAATGAGTCTTCATTTTTCAACAGTTTTCTTGGAAGAAGGCGCAAACTTCGCAGGGATCATCAGATTTTGATTTTCATTCAGAATTCGGCTCCTCCACTTCTCCTTTTTCCAGATTTTCTTCAATTTCGTTATAATTAAAATAAGTAGTGCATCATGGACACAAAAGGAGATATGTAGCCTCCCGATGAACTGATTGACATTCTCGAATCTTGGCCGTATGCTCACAGCAGCAGTATAAGAAAAGCAAATCGAGTGTTTTGGCGATTTTCGTGACCTTAACAATCATGCACATTCAGTAGCCTCTTACTTTACACTACAGTCTTTGGATAAAGAAGATAGGCGTAGTATGAAAGAAACGAAAGCGAAGGGGAAGAGGAAAATTTTTGAAGCTTGTGACAAGTTTTCAGTGTGTCCAAAACTCGTGACAGATTTTCAGTAAAAAGTTCATGCACTCATAAAAATAATGGCTTACGTTACAGACCTAATTCAGATGAGGAATGTTGAGTTCATCAGGGTCATATTTTTTGAGGTCAAGTAATTGGGCACCCTGTTTTTTCACGTCAGAAAAACCGCTACTTTCCTTAAGGCATTTAACCAAGATTGTCAATATCATGGGGGCAGCCCGTAGTGAATATCCGATATTAAGGATATTAAGGATAACTGTGATTTGCTCTTATATGTTACTTCCGTAACGCCCTGCCCCTGGATTTAAACTCCTAACCACTCACTTAATAGCCATCATATGTTCACTAGTAGGCACATCATCTCTTCAGAAGCACTCTGAATAGTCGTTTACTTTCTCGATGCTACCACCACTAGCCGATGCCAGTACGAACATTCCCCATCAGCAAGGCAGAAAAAAAGGTGTACCACACATCAAATTTTTTTTTTCACGCGGATGCAATGACAAGCTGCGCGTCACTGATTTGACAGAAAGTTTAACTGCTTGAATCGATCTGGATGAGAAGTCAAGTATTCTCGGGTGCATTCCGGCACTCACTTTTAAGTCTTCGTCAGTGGCAATGTTCGCATCCATATGTCATTGCCTTGAAAACAATAGCACTAAGCAGTACACTGCGGTCTTTCTTCTGTAACTTTGCTAATTCTAGAGGAAACAAAAGAGCCTATTCCTAACCTTAATACTCATGGTAACAAAATATTACTGTTAATGAGTCTTTTAACGATTACCTTCTTGAGAGATATTTGCAGTGGAAGTTTAAAGCGCTTTGAGCTCTCAGACAAACTAACCGGATTTCCTCATAATTAATTTTGAATTGGTTCTCCCAAAGCCAATCTGTGCTACCTCAGATTAAATAAGTTAA